GTTGGTGATTGTTGAAAACACTAAGACTTGTTTCTGTTCACTTTGAAAAAAGTTATGAAGTCACAATGCTCTGAGAGGTAAAATGAGTGTTTTTGTCTATGGAGTCTGGTAGTGAGCGATAGCCACATTACAGTGCATTTGTCCTCAACAATGTTTCAATGTAACTACAGCATCTTTCAAATAATTTTCAATGACATAAACTTTTATTTGCAGTCAGTTTCAGTTGACTGCATCAAACACAACCTCCATAAAACCATGTTCGCTGTAAACTTATATGACCGAAGTTGAATCCAGTCCTTGAACTCCTTTACAGTTGCAGTGGCAGCAGTTTCTGGGAGATAAACCACTGATAGAATGTCCCACCTTTCTTTGGAGGATCGGCTCATTTCCATTTTTATCTCTGAGACTTTGCTGCTCATTGATTTTTTCATTTTTTTCTCATTTAGCGTTCATTGTGGTTTAACAACGCTCACACAGATGCCTTATCGATACGCCGGCCTAATTACAGGAGCTTAAAGTGAACTTAATGCCAGGGGAAGGTGAAGCTAACAATTAGCCACCTGCTCTACATGGATGATGACAGGAACCGTCCTCCTGATGACCTTCCTGGTTTTGAGGACCGATGTGTACTGACTGGAGCGCTTTGGTTCATTATTAAATTATCTTTTCAACTTTTACTAATATTCAGTAACACCCATTAGGGCCCAGTGGCTGATTTTCCAACTAGCACACATAAAAGTTATTTATATGAATTTCTGCGAGGACTCCAGGAGAGTTAAATGAGCTTGTAAACAAGGTTTCAGTGCCAGACACAGTCCCAGTGTGGGTGTGACTCACAAGTTGGCGGCAATATCATATTTTTACTGTTTAATTAAGTAGAAAAATACCATTCAGATAACGCAAGCTTGTTCCCCTGCATTAATGTTGACTCATTAAATCAACTGTAAAGGGTGTTTGGGAGATACAGTGCAGCTATTCAGCAGCAGAAAACTCACAGACTGCCTTTAAATACATTCAGTGAAAAAATTGTGCAAATAAAGCAAAATGTCAATAATCCCAAACTGTTTTGGGACACTGACCGGGTAAATGTTTGCATATTTAATGTAACTGCACACACAGGGAGGAGTGTGTGTGCGGGTCGGGGCAGTTTAATGAGGTAAATGTGACTGACGGCTTTAACTGGCAGGAACTAATACAAACACGTTCCACACAGACGAAGTGTTCGCTGATGGAAACACAGCAAAGAAACTGAAGATGAGTTAAAGTCGAGGTTATGACTTAAACCCCTGTTACACTTAAAGCATCACACAAGGACTTCTTGAACCTTTTATTAACTCTTCCCTTGCCCCGCCCCTTCTTACATGCAGCATGATTTTCATTTGGTAAATGATGCACCCATTTAGAGTAAAATAGACCATAAAGCTTAAGACTTAAGACTTACAGTGGAACAGGCCTAAGTGAGTGATCATGGCTGTCTTGTGTTTGCTGTCCTCATCCTTATCACTGATATTATTATTATTATTATTATTATTATTATTATTGCTACGGTTACTGTTGTCGTCGTCTTCTTCTTCATGTTCATCATCATCAGTCACTACTATTAGTGTAGTTGTTGCTATTGTTGTTGCTGTGCGTCTGTCTGTCTGTCTCTCTCTCTCTCTCTCTCTCTCTCCCCAACTGGTCGAGGCCAGCAACTGGGCGCCGTGGCTGTTAGGTTTGGTTAAAAGTGCCCTGTTCTTGTAAACAGGAGAGATCCGCCTGGG